CAGCGATCCCAGACAGGCGGCTGCCCAACCACCTGCTGCGCTGTGACACAGGGAAGGGGCGGACCAACACGCACAATGAACTGCGCGATGCGTGTCTGCACATGGCCGCCGACGCTGATTTCATGACTCACAGTGAGACGACCACGTTCTGCCCCGTCACCCTTAAGAAAGCAGACATAGCGATCCGGGACAAGTCCTCAGGGGCAGTGTGGATAGGGGACGTGACCATCACGGACCCCATTAGCACACGGGATCCCAACGCGGTTAAGGGCAGGGGGTGGGCGGCCAGAGAGGCGGCAGAGAAAAAGATCTCCGACTACGAGGGCTCAACGGCCTCGTGGGTCGGATTCTTCCCTCTCGCCGTTGATACCTACGGCTGCCCCTGCGCGGAGGTCCCTCAATTCCTCAAACTTCTGGCCGACACCGGCGCGCGCAGGCTCTTCAACGCGGCCCCCTCATCTTACCAAGCAACAAAGCTGCTGCATCAGTTCCGCCAGCGGTGGTCCGTGGCGCTGCAGCGGGCGCAGTCGGTGAGCTTCATGACGAAGTGCAACTATGCGGCTCAGGTAGAGAACCCACCTGTGGCGCTGCCGGGCGAAGGCATGTCCCTCGGGGACTGCCTTGCCATCCTGGAGCCTGCACTGGAGCTGCCTTAGAGGGTGAACGAGAGTAGGTAGGATATGGGGGTTATAGAGGCTGAGGTGCATTGCTCCTTATAACCTTGTGCATGTCTGTACCGTGCTCGGATCTAATACACGGACCGCTTGAGAGAGAGAGAGAGAGAGAGAGAGAGAGAGAGAGAGAGAGAGAGAGAGAGAGAGAGAGAGAAGCAGCGCGCAGGTGGGGCGCGCAGCAGGCCGATGAGGAAGAGTTAGCACCCGCTCGAAGCGGCGGACGGGCTCGCTTGCAGAGGGATGCGCAGGGACACGCGGGCGAAGCCCAGCAGGCGCAGGCTCCGGCAGCGCGCTCTCCGCGGAACCCTCGAGCTCCGGATCCCGTCTCGCGGATGGATCCATCACCCCCGACCGCACCGCAGCCGACGCCAGCGCGCCGACCAATCGAGGACACGGCGGACGGGGCGCCCCAGACAGGGCACGCGGGAGCTGCGGGTGGAAGAGGAACGCGGGGAATACGTGTGGGCTGCGGCAGCAATCGCAGCGGACGCCGTGGGAACGGGAGAGGACGAAGAGGTGGAGGAGCACGAGTCTCAAATCGGCGCCGCACCGGCGCAAGCGGATACGCGAGAACAGCAGAAAGGCTAATGCGTGAAGGCGCGGAAGACGGCGAGGAGGTGCCCAGCGAGGAGGCAGAGGACGGTGTCGAGAATGAAGAAAGCGAGGGGGGTGACCCTGCGTTTAACCCAGAAAGAGAGGGGATGTTAGAAGCAGAGGCCGACGAGGACGAGGAAGAGTTGGAGCTGCTGCGGGAAGCGGAGGTCCCAAACCAGCAGGCCAGAGGCGAACCTGCAAACCGAACCTCAGGTCGAAATCGAACTGCGGGGGGAATTCAAGCAAGGGGGGGAAATCGAGCCGCGACAGAAGACGGAATTGACTCTGCAACAGCCAATGGAAATTCTGCAGCCCCGATTCCAACCCCCCCGATGCTCAAACCTGACGACCTGGCAAAAAATCCTGAGCTATTCGCTCAGGTTGCAGTCTGGGACCTTGACCCGCTGCGCGACAGTCGCCAACCTCCTCTCGCTCGCCACCCCCCCAAAGACCTTCGCGACTCCTTCGCGATCTGCATGTTGACACCGTTACTCCACCTGGCGGCCAATCCCGAGTCTCCGCAAGGATGGAAATTACTGATCTTTCTCCCGCGCATACTCCTCCGCACCTCGTCAGCCCGTAAACCTGACTGGAGCGCGATGATGAATCTGCTCCTGGGATTTCGCCAAGGGCTCTAGGCGGACCTATACGAAGAAGCTGTCCAGGCGATCTCCCTGCCACCACAGCCTCGCCACGCACCCGACACAACTGGAATACTGGCAAGGGCGGAAGGACTGGCAAAACGGGGTAACCTGTCAAAATCACTCCAATCCCTCCAGGCCACCCCTGTGTCAACTGCCTCACCTGAAGTGTTGGAAGCCCTTACGGCGAGACATCCATCTGCCAGCCAACTACTCCCTGACTGGCTCCACACCGCCACGGCGGAAGACCCACCTACTATCGAAGCCCGCGACTTCAGGTGCCTCCTCGCCAAGCTCCCCAACGGAGTAGGGGCCGGCCCCTCAGGAACCACTTTCGAGCACATCCGCGACGCAGCCCTAGGGAATGCCGAAGTACTCACCCACCTCCTCGCCCTCTCCAACACGGCATAGCAGGAAAACTCCCAACAGTCGCGGGGGATCTACTCACGGCCTCCCGCCTGCTAGCTTTTACGAAACCCCAAGGAGGGACGCGGCCGATAGCGATGGGGGAGTGTCTCCTCCGGATAATAGCAAAGGCCGCCCTCTTCCTGACCGCGCCGGCCGCCCGTACTCACTTTGCTCCCCTTCAGTTCGGAGTAGCAGTAGCAGTTGGGATCGAAGTGGCTATCCACACCGCTCGCACGTACCTGGAAGTGCACCCTGCTGCAGTGGCCCTGCAGATCGACCTTGCGAACGCATTCAACGCTGTCGAAAGGAGAGCGGTGTTCGAGGGACTGAGAAACGAGGCGCTGAAGGAGCTGATCCCCGTCGTCCGCCTATCCTATGGGGCTCCCTCCTCTCTCTACCTCGACCACGACTTCGGCGCAGCCCCGCTGCAGAGCGCCAGAGGAGTTCGCCAAGGGGACCTGCTCGGCCCCCTCCTGTTCGCAGCAAGCATCCACCCGTGCCTCGTTGACACGGCGGCGGCACACCCTCAGGTGGTCCTGCTGGCGTACGCCGATGACATCACGCTGCTCGGCGACGCCACGGCCTGCACAGCAGCATTCGACCACCTCACATCTGCACTTGCCGCCCTCGGCCTGGTACACAACCCGGCCAAGTGCGCGGCGTGGTCCGCCGCACCAATCGACTCCTCTGCAGTTCCCCCGGGAATTACTATCTCTGATGAGGGCTTGCAGATTCTCGGCAGCCCGGTTGGCACACCCCGGGGCTGAGCGGGCGCTGTGAGAGAGAGATTGGCAGTAGCAGCATCCCCACTCCCCCTGCTGGCCCATATGGACCCCCAGCTTAGTCTCCTCCTCCTCACCCGCTGTGTCAGCCGCCGAGCTTCCTTCCTGGCCAGAACCACCCCCCTGAAAGCTCTCCCTGAAGCGGAATGGTCTGCGTGGGGGGAGCAGCTCCTACACACCTTCCTGGACTCGGCCCATATCATGAGGCCGAGGAGTGCCCGGGAGAGGCGGAGGATTTGGCGGCAGGCAGCCCTGCCAGTGACTCTGGGAGGTCTGGGCATCACTGACCCCACCGTTGAAGGCAGCTACGCTTACCTCGCTTCAGTGATCAGCGTCGCCCACCTACTACACTCCTTGGAGGACTCGTTGCACCCTGCTGTCGCCGCGCTCCTCCCCCTACTGGACCCTACCCACGGCTCCCCGCACGCGCTGCCTGCACGCCTCGCTGCGGCTGAGGCAGCTCTCCCACCTGAGGCTCTCGAGGTGCTGCAGGCCGGGAAGGCTGACCCCAAGGGACTGAAGCTGCAGCAGAGCCTGGCGCTGGCGGTTCACTCCCTCCCGCCGCTTCCTGAGAGTCATGCGCGAGGCAAGGCGGATGCGCCCCAACCCCCTTTCTGGCCACGCGCAACGGATGCAGTCGGTGCTAGGCCCAGGCGCGGGGGATTGGCTGCTGGCGATCCCGCTCATCCCCTCGCTCCGGATGGACCCTTCCCAGCTCTCAACTGCAGCTGCCTTCCGCCTAGGCCTCCCCCTCCTAGTGCCTAGACGCTGTGACTGCCGCTACCGCACCACCTTCCCCGACGACCGCCTCCCCAACCACCTCATGCGCTGCGATAAGGGGAAAGGGAGGACCGCAACCCACCACGCTCTGCGGGATGAGATAGCGAACATCGGGGCTGAGGCGGGATTTACGGTCCACAAGGAGACGTATGTCTACTCACTGGTTGAAAACCTTAAGGCGGATGTCACCATCCGTTATCCCCTGACCGGTGAGGTTTGGATGTGCGACGTGACCGTGACGGACCCGGTGTCCTACCCGGTGTGCTCCTGGTTGGGCGGCTAGGGCGGCAGCAGCAAAAAAGGAGGATAAGTACGCGCGGCGGAACGCGTGGGTGGGGTTCCACGCGCTTGCAGTGGAAACTTACGGCTACCCCTCACCGGGGGTGTTGGCTTACCTGCGGCAGTGCGCAGAGCTGGTGGCAAAGCTGCGGTTTAACGCAGCTCCTACCTCCTACGAAGCAGCGAAGCTTCTGACGGAGTACCGCCAGCGCTGGAGCGTGTGCCTCCAGCGGGCGCAGGCCAACGCCCTCCGCACCAAGACCAATGAGGCCCTGGCGGCAGACGAGCTCGGCTTTAGAGGACCCATCATCACTCTCAGTGAGGGACAGCTGCACCAGTTGATTGAGGCCCCGTTCGACCAGTAGTGTCGGACAGGGGGAGGGGCTGAGTAGGTAGGGGACTTGAGATAGTTAGGATGCCGGTTTGGATGTTTGTTGTGCTTGTGTGTTTGCATCTTCCGTTGTACCACCCCTCAAAGAAATGCAAGGAACATGAGAGAGAGAGAGGACTTAGAGAGAGAGAGAGAGAGAGAGAGAGAGAGAGAGAGAGAGAGAGAGAGAGAGAGGATACCCCTTAGCCCTCTGCCCTCTGCCTCACCCCTCTGCCCTCCGCCCTCCAGAGCTATTTAAGGGCTGTTTCTCTCTCCCCCTCCTCATTATTTCGTGTGGAGTTCATTTCCGGCGGCTCGCGCCGGCGGCCGGCGCGGCCTTCGGCCGCGCGCTCCTGGTGGCAAGGAACAAGGCAGTGGACTGCTATTCCAGGAGAAACACGCATGCACAGGAATCAAGGGAGCAGAGCCTAGGCAAGAGAGAACGGCATGCAATATTACACGCGGCGGAGGCCTACATCGTGTACGGCTCCGCCCCCTCCATCTCAAGCATCGAGCGCATACACGCCGATACCGCAAGAAGAAGATGCGCCGATGACTGGAGCACGTCCAGGGGGGTCCCGGCCTGAGCAGCCCCTACAAGATCCCCCACGTGGCGGGGGAAAGTACGGGCTAAGGGAGCTACCCCGGCGGGCGCTTCCGACACGGGCGCCAACGGCGACTCGAGCGATCCTGCCAAAGTCACGCAGGATCCTCGGGATCCTGGACCGAAACTGCTCGGAAAGTTCCGGGTGGCCCCACACACTGCCAGCTGCAAGTTCGCCACCACCTCGCACGCCTCCGCCAGATTCAATATCCGGCACATGGTCAGCATGGGGTCTCTCCCCACGGGATTGGGGTGAGGTGCAGTCTGCTCTTCGAGCGGAAACGACGCCGACCAGCCAGGAACGCGGCCAACAGTCAAGCACCCAGCGGAGAAGCCAGGAACCTGACGAGGGGAGCGATAGTCGGGTCTCCCCACCCGCGCGGGCAGATACTCGGCCAACATCGGCGCGCGCAGTGGGGCCACCGGGCCGGGATCCGCGGCAAAGGGAGGGCCATTTGTCACCTCGATGTGAACGTGAGTCGGCCCCCCGCTCGCCCGGGCCTGCCGCACCACATCCACGAATGTGTTCGCAGCGTGATCAAGAGCAGGATCCGGCTGGCGGCCAGATGAGCCGCGCCCTCCGCCATTCCGCCGGCCCCGCCGCCCAGCGGAACCACCCGAATTCGGACGCGGAGGGGACGGCTCGCGACGACCTGATTCCCAGCGACGCCCAGGCGACCCCTTCCCCCGCGTCGCCGGAGCTCGCCGAGGTGATTGTTGAGCGGGGGATCGCGCTCGGGGTGAGCGCTGGCCTGCTCGACCACGAGGAGACGGGCGCCGAGGAGAGCGAGGACGCTCAGGGGAGCGCGGATCCCCCTCCCTGCGCTGATAGTGTTCGCGACGCGCGGGAGATAGGCGACGAGGAGACGGCTGCCGTTGGGGATGACGCTGAGGCGAGCGCCCGCGCTGCTGCGGCTGCTGACCGTCAGGACGGTTCGACGCTACACGCGCAGGAGCCCACGAATACTCAGGGGGGGAGAGGCGCGAGGCTGGCTGATGGGGAAGAGTCTGCACCCGCTCGAATCGGTGAACGGGCTCGCTTGCGGAGGGATGCGCAGGCAGTCGTGGCCGAGGCTCGGCAGGCGCAGGCTCCCGCGGCGCGCTCTCCGCGGAATGCTCAAGCTCCGGATCCCGTCTTGCGGACGGGTCCATCACTCCCGACCGTAGCGCAGCAGATGCCAGCGCGCCGACGAAGGGAAGGCGAGACGACCGCGGCGCCGCTGGCGGGGGGCGAGGGAGTCGCAGTAGCAAGAGCAACGCGCGGAATCTGCGTCGGACGCGGCAGTCGCCGCGGACGAAGGGGTAGCGAGCGGGGACGGGGAGGCGGCGGTGCGCGGGGCACGAACAGACGCCGCACAGGAGCCAGCGGCTTCGCGAGAAACGCGGAGAGGCTGATACGTCAGAGCGCGAGAGGCGGCGAGGAGGAACTTCGCGAGGAGGCTGAGGAGGCTACGGAGAATGAGAGAAGTGACGAGGGGGACCCCTTATTTAACCCTGAAAGAGAGGGGTTGTTAGGGGTTGAAGTCGAGGAGGATGACGAGGAGTTGGATCGCCTACTCCAAGGAGAGGAGGTCCCCAGCCCACGTGCCCGAGGCGTTCCTGCCAACCAAACCAGATCCGAAGGTGTGGGGCAAATCCCAAACCTGGGCCGAGCCGCATCTGCAACCCCAACCCCCAGAAATCGGACCGCGAGACCAAACCGAACCGCCCCCAACATTGCGGTTACCACCGCCCCAGCCAGTAACGCGGGCCCAACGCCTGCCACCCCCGCCCCAATCATCAGCGCTGACATCCTGGCAAGACGTCAAGACCTTTTCGCTGACATCGCCAACTGGGACCTCGGCCCGCTGCGCGACAGCAGACAGCCTCCCCTTGCCCGCCACCCTCCTCGCCCACTTCGCGAATCCTTCGCCATCTGCCTGCTGACCCCACTTCTGCACCTCGCCATAACCCCTGATTCCACTCCTGGTTGGAAGCTGCTGATGTTTCTCCCGCGAATTCTCCTGCGCTCGTCATCTGCACGAAAACCAGACTGGAAGGCAATGGGCGACAGACTGACGAGATTTCGCCAAGGGCAGTGGCGCGGCCTTTACGACGAGGCGGCAGAAGCAGTGAACAACAACCCCCAACCACGCCACGTACCTGACACCACGGGAAAGCTGGCGAGAGCCGAGGGATTAGCGAAAAGGGGAAACCTGGCGAAGTCCCTCCAGTCGCTAACTGCCACGCCCGTCTGCTCGCCAACCCCTGACGTATTGGCTGCGCTCACGGCCAGGCACCCAAGGGCCACCGCAGCCATCCCAGTCTGGGTGCAAGACTTTGCCCCTGAGACTCTGCCCTCAATCACAGCTCGCGAGTTCAGGAAGCTGCTGGCCCGTTGCCCCAACGGCGTAGGGGCTGGGCCATCAGGGACTACCTTCGAGCACTTGAGAGATGCGGCCCTTGGGAACACCGACGTCCTCCTACAACTGCACGCGCTTACCAACACGGCGCTAGCGGGTAAACTGAGCGCCGAGGCTGCAGATCTACTCACCGCTTCGCGCCTGCTCGCCTTCACGAAACCCCAAGGCGGAACTAGGCCAATAGCCGTGGGCGAATGTCTGCTGCGTATTGTCACAAAGGCGGCGCTCTTCCTGGCCGCCCCTGCAGCGCGCGACCACTTCACCCCGCTACAATTCGGTGTGGCGATCGCGGGGGGCATCGAGGCAGCGATACACGCGGCCCGCACCTACCTGGAGGAGTTCCCCGGAGCAACGGCCCTCCAGATCGACCTGGCAAACGCTTTCAATGCCGTGGAGCGCGCGGCGGTGTTTGAAGGACTGAAAGGCACGAAGCTTGACACCCTGGTCCCCCTCGTCCGCCTCTCATACGGCCGCCCATCAGCCCTCTACCTCGACCACGATTTCGAGGCGGCGCCTCTACAGAGCGCGCGAGGCGTGCGCCAGGGTGACCCACTGGGGCCTATGCTGTTCGCGGCCAGCATCCATCCCTGTCTCGCTGCAACGGCGACGGCCCACCCAGAGGTGGTCCTCCTCGCGTACGCAGATGACATCACCCTGCTAGGCGAGACTGCGAGCTGCACGGCGGCCTTCAACCACCTCACGGAAGCACTTCTCAGCCACGGCCTGTCCCACAACCCCGCGAAATGCGAAGCATGGTCCGCCACAGCCCTGGAGCCCGCCGCTCTGCCCCACGGCGTCACTATCTCCCGGGACGGGATCCGCGTCTTGGGCAGCCCGATTGGGCCCCCCCGCCGGCTGCGCTGCCCGAGTGCGGGAACGCCTTAAAGCTGCTGCTGAACCGCTCCCGCTCCTCTCCCAGATGGACCCGCAACTCTGCCTGCTCCTACTTACCCGCTGCGTGAGCCGCCGCGCTTCGTTCATGGTCAGAGCCACGCCGCTTGAAGCCCTACCGCTGAGGGAATGGTCCGCCTGGGGGGAAGAACTGTTCCATACCTACCTTGCCGCAGCACACACAGAAACCCCCAGAGCCCGGGTCGAGAGGGAGAGGATTTGGCACCAGGCCGCCCTGCCCGCGTCCCTGGGAGGCCTGGGCATCACCAACCCTGCAGTGGAGGGGGGACATGCCTACCTGGCTGCAGTCACTGCTGCTGCACACCTGCTGCGAACCTTCGGCGACGCGGCAAACCCTGCTCTCACTGGACTGCTGCCGCTAATGGACTCCAACGAGGAATCTACGTCCCTCCTCCCAAGGCGCCTTGCTGCCCTAGAAGCCGCGCTGCCTCCTGAGGGGATCGAGGCCCTCCAAGTGGGGAGACAGAGACCGGACGGGCCAAAGCTCCAACAGTCGCTCTCCCTCGCGGTTCAAACTGCAAGGTTCATGCAACTGCTCGAGAGCTCGCGGGAGATGGAGCTCAACCCACTGTTCGGACACACGCAGCGGCTGCAGTCCCTCTTGGGCCCCGGCGCAGGGGACTGGCTGCTCGCCGTCCCGCTGATCTCCTCCCTCCGCCTCGGGCCCTCTCAGTTCTCCACAGCGGCCTCCTTCCGCTTAGGCCTCCCCCTACCTGTGCCAAGGCGCTGCGACTGCAGATACCGCACCACATTCCCCGACGACCGCCTACCGAACCATTTGATGCGGTGCGAGAAAGGGGGGGGGAGAATTGCAACCCACAATGCCCTTCGGGACGAGTGCGCAAAGATAGCTGCGGAAGCGGGCTTCACCGTGCATAAGGAGACAACGGCTTACTCACCGGTCGAAAACCTCAAAGCGGATATCTCTATCCGCCATCCCGACACCGGTGAAGTGTGGATCTGTGACATCACGGTCACGGACCCCGTCTCCCACCAGGATGAATACGCCCGTAAAGCTCCCGGTTGGGCTGCTAGAATGCAGGCGGACAAGAAGGCAAGCAAATACGCCAGGCGGAGCGCTTGGGTGGGCTTTTACGCCTTGGCGGTTGAGACCTACGGTTACCCCTCGAGTGGAGTCCTGGAATTCCTTCGCAGCTGCGCGGAGTTAGCGGCCATGCGGCGGTTCAACGCCACCCCCAAGTCGAGGGAATGCGCCAAGCTACTCACCGAGTACCGGCAGCGGTGGAGTGTGACCCTGCAGAGAGCGCAAGCCACTGCCCTCAGGGATAAGACCCATGAGGCCCTCACGGCGGATGCGCTCGGCCTGCAGGGCCCGTTTACTCCAATGAGTGAAGGGCAGCTGTATCAGTTGATAGAAGACCCCTCCGGCCATTAGGGCCGGGCGGGGAGGGGGGGGCTGGGGCTGGGATAGTGCGGGGTTAGCTGCTGTTTTGCTGTAGCCTGGCCGTGAGATTGCTGTAGCCTTACCATCTGTGTACCTCGCTGACATTAATACCAAGGCCCGTTCGAGAGAGAGAGAGAGAGAGAGAGAGAGAGAGAGAGAGAGAGAGAGAGGTTAGCCTCTGTCCATTGCCTCTGTCCCTGGCCTCTAGGCTATATAAGGGTCCCGTAGGGACCTCTTTCCCTCATTAGTTCATTCAGTTCCCAGATTTTCGTATACGCGCAGCCTTCGGCTGCGTGCTTTGGGGTGGCAAGGATTCCCTGCAAAGTATAAAATAAAGACACTACACTAGACAGCTATGGGCCACGCGCCCAGCCACTAGATCACAAGATGCAGAGGGTCTACGCGCGGAGAGCGCCGGAAACTACATCAGATGGGCATCAATCGCCGCGAGGATTCCACGCATGGTCCTCCACAGTTGCTGGACCACTAACGCGGTCGCGCCTACAGCTTCAATCCCGCCACCACCCTGGAGGTGTGCGGTCAGACCCCGGACCGTTTCGTCCAGTTCTGAAACCGCAACGCCTCCCATCGCGGGCGCTCCCAGCAAGGGTAGGAGGAGGAAGGCAAGTTGCGCAGCCGCCGCCAAGCAATCTCCTCGCGCCTCACGACCGAGAGTGCTCCCTGGGCTCTGGAGAATGGCGAAGTGCGCATTCACCAGAATCAGTGTCAGGGCCTGCTGGCACTCCACCAAGCGCCACAGCTGCGCTAGGGTCGCCGTGGGAACTTGAGCCACCCCAGTCCTCAACGCGGCAGGCAGTATGGGAAGAGGGGGCGGAGGCTGCACGGACGGAGCATCCGCATCGCGACGCGGGGGAACGAAGGCCCCCCTCGCCCCTCCGCCTCCCGCTCCCACAAATCTCGTGTCCGGAAGAGGGGGAATCCAGGGCAGGGGCGGATACTGCGACGCAGACACAGGACAACCGCGGGCGGGAGGAGCACAATCATCGCCTCGAGCAGGAGCCCGTGGGTACGCAGATGCGTGCGGTGCAGGTGCAGCAAGGGGCGCGGCCGGGACCTGCGCATTCACAGGAGCAGGCGCGGGCGCAGACGGGGCAAGAGCCGGGGAGCTACCAAGATCCGGCGCGCCATTCAGGACGTTGCGCATCGCCGCGGCAAGCATCCCCGGGAAATCCTCCCGGAGCTGCTGCATCTCGCTCGGCCCATCGCGCCCGCGAACGTGACCTCCCCACCAGCCACCGCGACCTCCGCGGTGCGCCGAACGGTATGACGACGAGGGGCGACGCCGAGGAGAACCTCGCCCCCGATGCGCTGCCGCATTGCCCCCAACGGGAGCGCGTATCTGGGACTCCGCGAGCCGCTGCGCGACGGGATTCACCGGCGCAGCCGAAGGGGCAACCAAGTGGGCAGAATCGGGGCCGGCGACCACCGCTGTCCCCAGCACAGGGCCTCCAGAGACAGCTTGGGCGGGCGGCTGCGCCACGAGCGACGGCGACGCAACGGGAACCGGCGCGCCGGACACCGGAACTTTGTGCGGAAGACTTGGCGGGGGAGCCAGTGACAGCGGGACGGGAACCACGGATGGCGCAACAACAACAGGGGGAGCCGGGGGGAGCAGGGGAGGAGCAGCTACAGCAACCGCGGCAGCTGGGGCCGGAGGCGGAGCAATCGAACTCTCAGCGGTGTGTCCCTGGTCCACCGCTGACTTCTCCGCTTCAGTCGCCATTACGGCGAACACGTCGACAGCAGGCGATCGAGAATGCAAGGTCGCGCCAGAGCGCGGGCGCAGGGAGTAGAGGGAGTCCACTACTGGCCGAGGCCAATCCGCGGATGCGCGGAGGCCGTGCCGGGGGTCGCGGGCGGGGAAGGAGTACGCGAGAGGGCGGACCGGAGAACGCGTTCCAGGCAGCGGCGCGTAGGGCTTTAACTGAGTTGGGAAGAGCTAATGAAGCAGATGCACTGTCGGGGAGTATTTATGAGGCGGAGGAAGAGGTAGCAGACTCAGGATCGAATGCCTCGGAAGGGGCCCAGTCACTGACCCCTGCACGGCAGAGAGGCAACCCAACCCACGCTCGAAGCGCGACGACAAATTTCAATCACGCTCCAACCCAGCCGCGACCATCCCCACAAATTCGAACCGCTCCCAACAACATTGACACCACTGCCAACCGGCCCACCCACAGAACCCCGCCACCAACACCTGCAATTGCTCCGCGAACCGCAGTGAGGGGTAACCAACACCAGTCACAACCCCTCCCCCGAAAATCGCCGGAGGCTCTCGCCAAGGATGACATACTTTTCGCGAGTGTCAGTGATTGGAACCTAGACAAGCTGCGCGACAGTCGCAACTCACCTCTGGCTCGTCGACTCCCGGAAAAGCTGCGCCTGCTTTTCGCAATGGTTTTGCTGACACCATTGCTGCGACTTGCCGACGACCCTGACTCCACCCAAGCCTGGACGGTCTTGCTGTTTGCCGCTCGCCTGACATTGCGTCAACAGTCGCCGAGGCACCCTGATTGGAAGGCGACCAGAGACAGATTGCGTAAATTCCTGCGAGGGGAATGGGAATCACTTTACCTGGAAACAGTGGATTCGCTGGAGCTGCCCCCACCCCCCAGGCACCAACCAGATGACCTGGGAGTCATCTCCAGGGCAGAAGGCCTGGCGCGACGTGGCAGTCTGCGGAGGGCGGTCATGGCACTCGAGGCCACTCCAGTCAGCACGCCGACCCCAGAAGTTCTGGAATCCCTTCGCGCCAAACACCCGCGTGCCCAGCATCCTGACGCACCGTGGCCCCAACCAGAGCCAGACACTTACTTGGCAGTGTCGCGGGAAGTCTTCCTGAAACTACTCACGAAATGTGAGAACGGAGTGGGGGCAGGCCCCTCAGGCACGACATTCGAGCACCTGCGCGAGGCTTCCCTGATGCACTCTGCAGTCTGTTCACACTTACATGCGCTTGTCAACACGATCCTTCGCGGGAAGCTGCGCTCGGAGGTTGGGGGACTTCTAACTGCATCCCGGCTGATAGCCCTAGACAAGCCCGACGGAGGAACCAGGCCAATCGCAATAGGCGAATGCATCCTCCGTCTAGCAGCCAAAGCAGCACTTACCCAGCTAGCAGAGGCGGCCAGAGAGTTCTTCTTACCTTTACAGTTTGGTGTAGCTGTGCCGGGAGGAGCCGAAGCAGTGATTCACATAGTTAGAACATTTACCTCGGCAAATCAGGAAGCGCTAGTCTTGCAAGCGGATTTAGCTAACGCTTTCAACAGCGTTGATCGCCTCGCCATAGTGACAGCAATAAAAGGGTCGCAGCTGGAATCACTACTACCTCTGGTGAATTTCTCTTACGGTCAACCGTCCACGCTGCACCTAGACGCAGCGTTCAACCACGCACCTTTGCGCAGCGAGACTGGAGTCCGCCAAGGAGACCCCCTCGGCCCCCTCCTTTTTGCCGCTGCCATGCATCCAGCTCTGAAGGCCGTCGCGGAGGCACATCCGGATGTCATCTGCCTGGCCTACGCAGATGACGTGACCTTCTTGGGCGACCCGCCGTCGTGCACGGCCGCCTTCGATCACTTCACGAGCCTCCTCGCGGAGGTTGGGCTGAAGCACAACCCCGCCAAGTGCGGAGCATGGTCCAATGGGTCAACCGCGGACGTCTCCCTGCCCGATGGAGTTCCACTCAGCAGCGACGGGCTGAAAGTGCTAGGCAGTTACATCGGCACCCCAGGGGCTACCTCCGCGTTCGTGCGCTCCAGTTTGGAGGCAATGGGCACGCCGCTAGGATTGATCGAGCGGATGGAGCCGCAGCTGGCGGGATTGCTGCTGTCTCGGTGCGTTTCGCGCCGTGTATCCTATTTGGCCCGCACGACCCCCCTCCCGTCCCTGCCCAAGGAGGAGTGGTCCGAATGGGGGAGGCAGATGCTGGAAACTTTGCTCACAGCGTGTGGCATCATACACCCGCGAGGGACCGAGGAAACCGCGCGCACTTGGGCGCAGGCCTCGCTCCCTGTATCGCTTGGTGGCCTTGGGCTCACAGATCCGTCCGTGGAGGGAAGCTACAGCTTCCTCGCCAGCTACACGCAGGCTCACCTTCTCCTTGACTCCCTCGAGGGCGACTGCAATGGCCCTCTGGAGGTCATCCGCGAGCAGATGCGCGGCCCCTACACTCAGTCATCTCCTTTGACCGAGTGGTTGGCGGAGTGCGAGGAGGAGCTTCCACTGCCGGCGCAAGAAGCACTGCAAGCGGAGAGGACAGCCCCTACCGCGGGAAAGCTGCAGCACGGGTTAGCCACGGCTATCCAAGGCCAGCGCTACGCAGTTCAGGTGGAGGAGGTGCGGGGGATGAGCCCGAACCCAAACAGTGGGCACACACAACGGCTGTTGTCCCTGTCGGGGTACGGGGCGGGGGATTGGTTGAACGCGGTGCCGCTGCACCGCGCGCTACACCTCGAGGCTCCGCACTACGCCAACGCAGTCCAGTTTCGGCTGGGGCTCCCCTTTGCGGCCCCCGGGGTCTGCAATTGCTCGAAGCAGGTAGAAATCCCTGACAAGCGTCTCCCAAACCACCTGTTTCGGTGCGGGACAGGGGGGGGGCGCACAAACACCCACAACGAACTCAGAGATGAGTGTGCGCGAATGGCGCGCGACGCGGGCTTCATGGTGCACATTGAAACGGCCGCCTTCAGCCCAGTGGAGGAGAAGAAGGCGGACCTTGCCCTCCGCTGCCGCTCAACAGGAGCCGTCTACATCTGTGATGTGACGGTGACGGACCCCATCAGCACCCGTGATGAGAATGCAACTAAGGGGCGGGGGTGGGCGGCTCGGGAAGCAGCAGATAAAAAGCACGGCCTCTACAGGGACCGCCCCGAGTGGGTGAAGTTTTTCCCGCTCGCGGTCGAAACTTATGGGTGCCCATGCCCCGAGACTGTGGATTTCCTGAAGCTGCTCGCAGAGACAGCTGCAAGGCGGTTCTTTAACGCCGAGCCAACCTCCTACCAAGCTGCCAAGCTCTTACACCACTTTCGGCAGCGGTGGTCGGTGGCTCTTCAAAGGGGGCAGTCTATCGGTTATTTGGAAAAATGCAGCATAGCGGCTGCAGTAGAAAATCCACTGCTCAAGGCAGTGGGGGAGGCTCCGTCCCTAGGGGATTGCCTCACGGTCCTTGAGCCCGTACTGGACCTAGCTTAGAAAGGGGGGGGGGTTGTATGTTAAGGGAGTCGTAAGGTCTTTCGCACCATACTGACAATAGCTACCTCCTTGCATGCCTGTAAGTCCTACATTTGTGTATTAATGAAAGGGCCGTTCGAGAGAGAGAGAGAGAGAATGCAGTCAGTGCTCGGCCCTGGTGCGGGAGACTGGCTGCTGGCACTACCCATCATACCCTCGCTCAGGATGGGACCCTCTCAGCTCTCCTCCGCTGCTGCGTTCCGCCTGGGCCTCCCTCTACCTGTCCCCAGGCGTTGCGACTGCCGCTACCGCACCAAATTCCCTGATGATCGCTTCCCAAACCATCTCATGCGCTGCGAGAAAGGGGGGGGAAGGATTGCGACTCACCATGCGCTCGGGGACGAGATTGCTTTGATTGCGGCAGAGGCGGGATTCACGGTGCACAAAGAAACCTATGTATACTCTCTCGTTGAAAACCTGAAGGCGGACGTCGCAATCCGCCATCCCCGGACGGGAGAGGTATGGATGTGCGACGTGACAGTGACGGACCCCGTTTCTCACCAAGATGAGAACTGCAACAGAGCGCCGGGGTGGGCGGCTAGGGCAGCTGCGGACAAGAAGGAGCAGAAATACGCGCGCCGGAATGCGTGGGTGGGCTTTCATGCCCTAGCGGTAGAGACATATGGGTACCCCTCGCCCGGGGTATTGGCATTCTTGCGGCAGTGCGCGGAGCTGGCGGCCAAATTGCGATTCAACGCAGCCCCCACCTCCTACGAAGCCGCCAAGCTGCTGACGGAATACCGCCAGCACTGGAGCGTGTGCCTCCAAAAAGCACAAGCCAACGCCCTCCGCTGCAAGACCAACGAGGCGATAGCAGCGGACGAGCTCGGCATGCGGGGCCCCTTTGCCCCCCTTAGCGAAGGCCAGCTCTACCAGCTAATAGAGCCCCCGTTCGACCCTTACGGTCGGGCGGAGGGGGCGGGAGGGAGTAAGGGAGTGGGGTAGTTAGGTAGACCGTGTGTTATATCTGAAGTTTGCATGTGTTTGCATCTTCCCATGTACCTCCCACCAATCAATACAAGGCCCATTAGAGAGAGAGAGAGAGGGGATCCCTTAGCCCTCTGCCCTCTACCTCATCCCTCTGCCCTCTGCCCTCCAGAGCTATTTAAGGGCTGTTGGGGTCCCTTTCTCCTCATTAGTTCGTGTGGAGTTCATTTTCGGCGGCTCGCGCCGGCGGCCTTCGGCCGCGCGCTCCTGGTGGCAAGGCACGAAACGTGGGATCGGCCTATAAAGGGTACACACACACAATAACGCAAAGGAGCAGGGCAACAGCAAGTAGCGCGGCATGCAATTCTACACGAGGCGGAAGCCTACATCATGTACGGCTCCGCCCCCTCCATCTCCAGCATCGAGCGCATGCACGCCGACATCGCAAGGAGGAGATGGGCCGACGACTGCAGTGTGTCCACGGGGGACCCGACTTGAGCAGCACCTACAAGATCCCCCACGTGGTGGGGGAAAGTACGCTCTAAGGGCGCTACCCCGGCGGGCGCTTCCGACACGGGTGCCAATGGCGACTCGAGCGATTCTGCCAAAGACACGCAGGATCCTCGGGACCCTGGACCGTAACTGCTCGGAAAATTCCGCGTGGCCCCACACACCGCCAGCTGCAGGTTCGCCACCACCTCGCACACCTCCGCCAGCCAGGTTCAGAACCCGGCACATGGTCAGCATGGGGTCTCTCCCCGCGCGAGTGGGGGGAGGTGCAGTCGGAGCTTCGCGCGGAAACGCCGACGGCCAGCAAGGATTCGAGTGCGCGGAGAAGCCCGGGACCTGACGAGGGGTGCGAAACTGTGCCCTCCCCTCCCGCGCTGGCAGATATTCGCGCAGTGTCGGCGCGCGCAGAGGAGCCATCTGGCCAGGATCCGCGGCGAAGGGAGGGCCGTTGGTCACCTCAATGTGCACGTGAGTCGGCTCCCCACTCGCCCGCGCCTGCCGCATCACCTCCGCAAACGCATTCGTGGCCCGTTCGAGGGCAGGATCCTGCCCGCGACCATTACCGCCACGCCCACCGCCATTCCGCCGGCCCCGATGGCCTCCGGAACCAGCCGAGTGCGGACGCGGAGGGGACTGCTCGCGGCGAACCGAATCCCAGCGACGTCCAGGCGACCCCCTCCCCCGCGTCGCCGGAGATCGCCGCGGAGAGCGTTGTGCGGGGGATCGCGCTCGGGGTGAGCGCTGTCCTGCCCGACCACGAGGGGATGGGTGGCGAGGAGAGCGCCGGCCTGTGGGGGACAGATGATCGCCAGCGCCGTCCCGGTGATAATCGCGATGCTCTGGAGAACGGCGGCGAGGGGACTGCTGCCGAATTTCGCGATGAGCGACATCGGGGAGAGTGCTGCCGCGGCGGCTGACGCGGAGGTGAACGCCCGGACTCCTGATGAGGCGCGCCAGCAGGGCGGTTGGACGCAACACGCGCAGGGGCCCACGAATACTCTGGTGAGGGGGGCTGAGGGACGCCCCGAAGAGGAAGAGACAGGCTGCGCTCGAAGCGGCGGACGGGCTCACTTGCGGAGGGGTGTGCGGAGGGACGCGGACGAGGCGCGGCGGGCTCATGCACCTGCTGCGCGCTCTCCGCTGTCCCCTCCAGCGCAGGATCTCGACCCCGGGCTGGGTCCATTATGGCCGATTCCACCGCCGCCGACGCCAGCGCAACGTCAAAGGAGGGGCGGTGCTGCAGCCGCGCCAACCGTGAGGCACGCAGGAGCAGCGAGAGAAAGAGGAACGCGGGGATTTCGGGTGGGACAAGGCAGCAACCGCCGCGGACACGGACACGGCGCCACGACACAGAGAAGAGGGTCGAGCAGCTTCGCGAGAGCAGCACAGCGGGTCCTTCGGCAGAGAGCTAGGGAGGGAGAAGAAGAACTTGGTGACGAATCTGAGAATGGAGCTGGGGGTGACCCTGACTTTATCCTTGAAAGGGAGGGAAGTTCGGATCCCCCAACAGAGGACGAAGTGGAAGAAGAGGTTGACCCAGCCCAGGGGGCGGGCCACAACCCATCTGGGGGTCGAATCGCATCTTCAACTCGAACCCCCCAAAATCGGGCCGCGAGGGCAAATCGAGCCGCCCCCAACACACGGGTTACCATACCCCCAGCCAATAACCCAGCCCGCGCCCCAGCCCTTCCGGTCCCAATCATCAGCGCGGATGTTTTGGCGACGCGTCAGGACCTCTTTGACGACGTCGCCAACTGGGACCTCTGCCCACTGCGCGACAGCAGACAGCCCCCTCTCGCCCGCCACCCACCCCGCCCACTTCGCGAATCCTTCGCGATATGCCTGCTGACACCACTGCTGCACTTGGCGAAAAACCCAGACTCCACCGCAGGCTGGAAGCTGCTGATGTTTCTCCCGCGCATCTTGCTGCGCACCTCGTCGGCCCGCACACCTGACTGGAAGGCCATGGGTGCAAGGCTGACGCGATTTCGCCAAGGCCAGTGGCGTAACCTGTACGACGAGGCAGCTGACGCGGTTACCAGTAATCCTCAACCACGACACGTACCTGACGTCATGGGCAAGCTCTCGCGGGCCGAAGGCTTGGCTAAAAGAGGGAACCTTTCGAAATCACTGCAGACTCTGACTGCCACGCCAGTCTGCACGCCGTGCGCTGAAGTCCTCAGTGCGCTCACAACCAGGCACCCAGACGCCGCCACGGCCATCCCTTCCTGGGTGCACGACTTCGCCCCAGAAAACGTCCCTTCCATCGCTGCCCGGGATTTCAGGCGACTGCTGGCAAAATGCCCCAACGGAGTAGGGGCTGGGCCCTCAGGCACCACCTTTGAGCATCTTAGAGACGCGGCCCTTGGGAACGGAGACGTTTTCCTGCAGTTGCACGCACTTACCAACACGGCACTCGCTGGTAGGCTGACGGCGGACGTGGCGGATCTCCTAACAGCGTCGCGCCTACTTGCCTTCTCGAAACCACAGGGTGGAACGCGGCCGATAGCTGTGGGTGAATGTCTACTACGCCTCATTGCCAAGGCGGCCCTTTTTCTGGCCGCTCCAGCGGCGCGCGAGCACTTCACCCCGCTACAGTTTGGAGTTGCAATTGCGAAAGGGATAGAGGCGGCAATACACACCGCACGCACCTACCTGGAGGAGTTCCCAGGAGCGACGGCGCTGCAGATAGACCTAGCCAACGCCTTTAATGCAGTCGAGCGCGCGGCAGTGTTCAAGGGCCTGAAAGGCACCGACCTCGAGGTCTTCGTGCCCCTCGTTCGTCTCTCTTACGGCAACCCATCAGCGCTCTATCTCGACCACGGCTTTGGAGCAGAGCCGCTTAAGAGCGCACGGGGCGTACGCCAGGGGGACCCGCTGGGACCCATGCTGTTTGCAGCCAGCATTCACCCCAGCCTCGTCCAATTGGCAGCGGCATACCCGGACGTGGTGTTTCTAGCGTATGCAGATGGCATCACTCTGCTAGGAGAGGCGGCCAACTGCACAGCGGCATTCGCACACCTCACGGAAGCCCTCCGCCTCCACGGGCTGGCCCACAACCCGGCAAAATGCGAGGCGTGGTCCGCAACTGCACTTGACCCCTCCACCTTACCTGCTGGCATCACGATATCACAAGATGGAGTCCGCGTCCTAGGCAGCCCCATTGGCCCCCCCACAGGCTGCGTGGCTCGAGTTCGTGAGTGCCATGCTGCAGCTGCCGAACCTCTCACGCTCCTCGCCCAGATGGACCCCCAACTTTGCCTGCTACTACTCACCCGCTGCGCGCCGCGCCTCGTTCCTGGTCAGAGCCACGCCCCCTGAGGCCCTTCCGTTGGAGGAATGGTCGTCCTGGGGGGAAGAACTGCTCCACACCTACCTGGCCGCGGCACACACCAGTATCCCCAGGGACCGGGCAGAGAGGGACAGGATCTGGCACCAAGCCGCACTGCCCGCGTCCCTGGGAGGCCTCGGCATAACCAACCCTGCAGTGGAAGGGAGAATCGCCTACCTGGCATCAGTTGTATCGGCCGCCCACCTGCTACGCTCCTTCGGCGACTCGGCAAACCCGGCCCTAGCAGGACTGCTCCCGCTGATGGACGCTGACAGTGAATCCACTTCCCTCCTCCCACGACGCCTCGCTACCCTGGAAGCCGAGCTGCCACCTGACGGAATAGAGGCCCTGCAGACTGGGAGACAAAAGCCTAACGGACCAAAACTGCAGCAAGCCCTCTCCCTCGCGGTGCACACAGCCCGCTACATTCGACTGCTGGACAGCTCACGCAACATGGCTCCGAACCCACTGTTTGGCCACACGCAGAGGTTACAGTCCCTCCTAGCCCGGGGGCGGGAGATTGGCTGCTTGCCATACCCCTGATCTCCTCCCTCCGCCTCGGACCCTCCCAGTTCTCCACCACGGCATCCTTCCGCCTGGGACTGCCCCTACCGGTGCCAAGACGCTGCAACTGCAGATACCGCACCACCTTCCCGAACGATCGCCTGCCGAACCACTTGATGCGGTGTGAGAAAGGGGGTGGGAGAATTAGCACTCACAATGCCTTGCGAGATGAGTGCGCAAAGATTGCGGCTGAAGCGGGATTCACGGTGCACAAGGAGACAACGGCATACTCACCGGTCGAAAACCTCAAAGCGGTTAGCTTCCGCCACGTCACACACCCGACGACCAGGGCAGGCGCGCTAGAGCAGAGGGCCTCACACGCAAGGGAAGCCTACGAAGAGCAATCCTTGCCCTGGAGTCAACCCCGGTCGCTGACCCATCAGCTGACACGCTAGCAGCCCTCAAAGCCAAGCACCCCCGAGCGCCAGCTGGTCTCATCGATTGGACCATCCCCGGTACAGAGCAGCCCGCCTCCATTGACATGGGCGCATTCGTAAAAATATTGTGCCGGTGTGAAAATGGAGTGGGAGGCGGACCTTCGGGAATGACCTTTGAGCACATGAGGGACGCTGCCATCGCAAACAGTGGGGTTACCACACACCTACACGCGCTCGTCAACACAATCCTAAAGTGCAATCTCCCAGACGAGATCTGCTCGCTCCTTACCGCCTCGCGCCTCATCGCCTTAGCTAAGCCTGGGGGAGGCACTCGCCCCATCGCAGTAGGCGAGTGCATCTTACGCATCGCCGCGAAATCTGCACTCGCGTCGTTATCGGAAGCATGCCGGGCCCACTTCCTCCCACTCCAGTACTGCGTATCGGTCCAAGGCGGCAGTGAGGCAATCATTCACGCCACAAGAACCTTCACACACGCGAATCCAGGGGCGCTGATTCTACAGACGGATTTAGCGAACGCCTTCAACTCCATTAGTCGCGCAGCAATAGTAGACGCACTACGAGGCTCGGCGCTGCAGGGCATTATCCCGCTCACCAGGATATCGTACGGCAAACCGGCCCAGCTTTTCCTAGATGCTGGGTTTGAATGCGAGCCGCTCATCAGCGAGACCGGTGTGTGTCAAGGGGATCCGCTTGGCCCGCTACTCTTCGCCGCCGGGATTCACCCCGCCCTTACCAAAACCGCAGCGGCCTTCCCCTCCGTGATGTGCCTGGCCTTTGCTGACGACGTTACATTCTTGGGCGAGCCGCTGGAATGTTCAAAGGCCTTCTGCCACTTCATAGAGGGCCTGCGCGACGTGGGGTTGCGCCACAACCCAGATAAATGCGCAGCGTGGAGTGCAGCGGCGGTCGATCCTCAGGTGCTGCCGCAGGGGGTCCCATTTTGTGAGGAGGGCCTGCGGGTGTTGGGGAGTTTCATCGGATCTCAGGAAGGTGCAGCGGCTTTCCTACGCTCGCAACTCGAATCCATGTCTACCCCACTGCCGCACCTCTCAAAAATGGACCCCCAAGTAACCTCACTGCTACTGACGCGGTGCATCTCCAGGTGCATATCCTACCTCGCACGCACAACCCCGCTCTACCTGTTACCCGAAGCAGAATGGACCAGGTGGGGCCGGGCCCTGCTACACGCCCTACTTGACGCGTGTGGGGTGCGCCACCCACGGGGAGAGTCGGAGGCCGTGCGGATATGGGACCAGGCATCACTCGCGCCAAGCCTAGGAGGGCTAGGCCTCACAGACCCAGTGGTAGAGGGTCGGTACAGCTTCCTGGCCAGCCTAGTACAAGCGCACTCCCTCCTCAGCCCCCTCCCAGGCCCGGCGGGGTCTCACCTCACGGCAGCACTACACAGCCTTGAAGCGGCGAACACGAGCCCGAATGAACTGCAGAGGTGGATCAACGACTGCAGAGAGAGTCTAACACAGGAAGCAAGGGACCTGATTGCCTCCGAGCTTGCCAAACCCGCAGGCCAGCTCCAACACCGACTAGCACTCATAGTCCAAGGCAGTAGGAGTGCCGCGCAGATCACTGCCTCTAGACAACTGGAGCTGAACCCCCGGGCGGGCCACACGCAGCGCCTCATCTCACTCACGGGCTACGGGGCAGGGGACTGGCTACTCGCCATCCCCTACATGCCCGCCCTGCAGCTCTGCCCCGAACACTTCACCTTCGCCCTCCAGTTCCGGCTCGGCCTGCCCATGTCCGTACCCAAGTGCTGTGACTGTGTCAAGCGGGTTGCTATCCTCGACAAGAGGCTGCCAAACCACCTACTGCGCTGTGGTACGGGACACGGTCGGACCAACACGCACAACGAGCTCCGGGACGAGTGCATCC